CTTCTGATAATTCAAAAGCACTCAACAAACCACCTAAATATCTAATTATAGTCTCAAATAGGTTTGTTTCACTGTCACTATTAGTAAAATTCAACTTGCTAACAAACTCTCTGGATACACTAAATTCATCTTTTAAATCCATTATCCACATAGTGTCCAAAGCATCAACAATTGTTGCGCCCCACCCATTAAATTTATTTCTGCCCATATTGCTAATTGGACGTAGCTCATCATATCCCCACGCATATTTGGAGTAGCCACGCCAAGCATGAAGAAACCCATTTTTAACAGATTCGCGACGTTGCTCTCTAATAGTTTTTTCTTGAGTTGTTTCACTAAGGTGAAAGTCATATTGAATTTTAGGTGTAATGTTAGGTGCAGTGGTTTGTTCCTTTTGTTCATCCTGTAAAACATTATTTACAGAAGGTTCAGAATGAAAATCTAAAACAAGAAGTTGATATGTTAACAATCCAAGGAAAAATACTAGAATAATTGCGTATATTATACGATTTTTAAGCCGAGAGGGAAATTGATTTGTACATGCTTTAGTAAAGTTCATGATTAAATTAAATAATCACTGAAAGATCTAAAGAAAAACAGAATAGTAAGGTTGAAAAAAAAGTTATCGAGTTTCATGCAGACTTTATTTATAGAATAAGGTAAACAAAAAAAACCAACGGTTTCAAAGAGATTACACAAATAGGACAAATAGGCTAATTATGCCGATCGGCAAAAACTATTGGTCGCGTTTGCGTTCTATTAAATTCTATATACTGTTAACACGTTACGTCGGACTTACGGAAATTGATTGTTAGGAGAATTGTTTCAAAAAAATTATTTATAAACAAAAAAAAAAAGATAATTTTGCTAAAAGAAAAATTTTTCTTTCCTGAGTTCAAAATGAGTCGAACTAATATTTTTTTGATTAATTTTCTAATTCTAATTTTCTTTGCGAGCGTGGTTGCTTCAGGTATATATATCTTTATTACATGATCAATTTTAATACTCGCAAGAAATTTCCTAACCGTCTCTTCAAAATTATTTAGTAATTATCGTAAATACTCCGGATAATCCAGTATACGTAGGAAGCGTGCTTCAAATTACCTGGTCTGATACCATTCCCCTAAATGGAACTGGCGATTTGCGACTTATGCTTAATCAATCCATAAATATTGAAATAGAAAATAATGTAGACTTGGCAAAATTATCCTATACTTGGATAGTCAATGCTCCGCCTGGAACTTATTTTTGGGGACTATTTACTGGCATCGATGGTATCGGTTTTTCTCGTAGTTTTTCCATTATGAATGCGCCCCAACCAAGCGCTACTTCGGCCCAACCGAGCACAACCGTTACTCCTACTTTGGTGAATACGGCCCCAGGTACAATCTTTTGTTAAAAACTTTACCATTTTTTGAACGCTTTACTTAATTTAACTTTTACATTTTTTTTCAGTAATCCAAACAATTATAAGTGATAGTAATAAAAGTTCATCATTGGGCATAGGAATCATTATAGGTATTGGTTTAGTTATTGGAATTATAGCGCTTGTAGGTATTTCTATTTGTGGATATTTATATTTCAGAAGAAAGAAATATATTCCAACTGCTGGGGAATCCACCTTTAAATGACAAATTATATAAATGGTAATGACTTAAATTATATCTTTCCTGCATTCATTAAGACTAGAATCAAATATAAAGGCATCAGTAATAATAAGATTATTAGGTTTAAAGCGTTCTGAAAAAGGATAGATTTTTAAATTAGCATTGACTAATCACGACTTTTATTAAATGTAAAATAAATTTTAGGTATTGTAGTTTAGTATTTATATTATGTATAAATTAATTTATAAACATTATTTATGATTAACATTTTATCCCGTATTTCTTAATCAAAATGCATTTCCTGGTGCATACCACTGGCACGTGATTCTACGTATTATTATTTTTTTCTGCGGCACTATAACTAATGATAAAGTAGTCTCGTTCCATATTTTTGAAACATGTATCAAAATTTCGGTCTATTAATTAAATATTATTATGATAACACTCTTTTCCTTGTAGGTGTCGGCTTGGATTTTAGAAATCAATTTAGGTACTAAAATTGATAAATGTTGGTGTTGTCTTGTTTTCTTTTTAAAGAATGTCATTTAACATTTCTGATTAAGAAAGTGATTTCTTAGTGCATAAATCACATGATTTATTCACAATTCAATCACCATTGTCACTGGAACAATTTAGCATCTATATCTAATAATAAAAATTTTGAAACTAAAAAATGAATTTATCGTACTTTAATGTGTGTTATCTTCAGCTTTTCAAATTATGATTAGAATTTTAAATCCAATCATTCCTTAAAAGTTATGTTATTATTAAATTTCTGTATTAAAAATTTTCTTAATTGTATATAGAATATTATTTTAAATAAGCTGAAAATATTTTTCAAAATGTTAAAAATTTATCTAAATACAGTATAAATAGTTAAGCATAGCATAGGTTTAATAATATATTTTGTGATATTTTAATAAAATCTTTTCTAAATTTACTAAAATTACTATAAATTTTTAATACAATTACGTATTTTTTTAAGGGTTTATTGTTTCACTTCATATCAGATATTTAAAAAAAAAAATTTAGAATTCTGATTGTGAATTTCTACATTTTTTTACATTTTTTTAATACATTATGACATTTATTATCTGTAAATAAAATTTTTGTAATTGGAATAGTTATTAATTAGAATATAAATTATACCACATTCTTGGATCAGAAGAAATTTCCTTTGTTACATGGTTCTATGCAAAAAGACATTAAAAAAATATGATACTCTCATCTAATCTAATATTGTAAATACTAAGTTATCACATATTATAAAATAATTGTTAATCATCATCATCATCTTTATCTGCCATCTGACACATCTAAAATCAGATATAATAAAAAAAAATTAATTATGAAATTAGTCTCTTTAATTCATTAATTTTATATTTACTTACTTTATTATATTTTTGATATGGAAATGCAGGAGCAATTTCTATATCTTGTTCGGGTAATATCCATTCTAAAAATCTCCATATAAGATAATCTATTGCTATTAACATACAAAATATTTTACCTGCCCATACTCCGCATCCATAATATCTTCTTAATCTCTCCATTAAAGGAGGAATTCTAATTTTCCAAATTGCATCATAAACCTAAATCATAGTGTTTTAAAATTTAACCTTATATTAATCAAATGATTTTCTAAAACTTTACTAACCTTTTCGGTTCTTTCAGCAACATTAACCCAACTATACATTTCTTTAATTTCATCATGAAACTTAATTGGTATAACCTCTTTGAGCCTAATCATTTCAATAGCCCTTGCTACTGCATTTACTAAATCATCTTCCTCAGGTTTAGCAAAAATTATCATACGTTTTGGAAGTACTTCTGGCACTCCTCCAACTTTTGTGCTTACTACAAGCAATCCACAACAAGCTGCCTCAACAATTCCAATACAAAATGCTTCTGTTAAGCTTGTATTTAGAAATATATGTCCCTTTGTTAAAAGCTAAAAAAAAAATAAACATTTTTAATATAAATTTCAAAAAAAAAAAAAAAAAATAGAAAAATTATTTGAAGCAATCACATACATTTCTCATTTCATGTTGCATTAATGTACCAATTAATTCGACACGATCATGAAGTAAATACTTTTCTCTCATTTGTTCCAAATCTATTCTTTTTGGCCCATCTCCACCTTATCAGATTAAAAAAGGGAATCTTTAATAGAAAATTGATAATATCCTGAAATATCCAAATAATTTCTTACCAATAATGAATTTAACTTTGGAGTGCATCTGACATATTCTTGGAATTGCAGCTACCAGCAAATCCATACCCTTTCTATATACCAATCTACTTGCAACTACAATTGTAACTGATCGGAAATAAAATAATTTAAATAATTTAGTAAATATTGTGCAGAATCAATCAAGAATTCAAGTGCTTACTAAAATTAGGATCTTGTGCACCCGGATCTGGTTTAAATTGTGAAGCAACAACAGCATTTGGTATAACTGATACCATTTGAGGATTTAATGCTGCTCTAAGCACTGTATTCTCTTTACTAAATAAAAATGTAAATAAATAAATCGATTTTTTGAAACTTTATTATAATCTCATTAATTTCATTTGCTAAACTTACCTTGTATGACTAACACAAATAACGTGATCAATGTCGCTCAAAGTAAACTTCAATAATTTATTCGTTAATATACTACTAGCATCAGCGAATCCAAATAAACTATGATCAGTAAAACAAGCCTTCATTCCCATTGTACGAGAATGTAAAATTGCTTCATGGCACAGTGAGGAAAATGCTTGATGTCCATGTACAATATCAATCTTCTCCCTTTTTACAATATTTCGAAATATCGGGAAAAATCCATAAATTGTTGGTAATGTTGCTTCCGAGTATATAACCATATGTGGCACATAATATACTTTTAAACCGTTGGTAAGATATCGGATTCCGGTACGATTTCCATAAGAATGAGTTATAATTATTATCTAATCAAAAAAAATTGTAAAAAAATTTTAATTATAGAATTTTTTTTTTTTTAAAAAAAACTAATAATCTATTTTTTACTTTGTGCCCACGTTGAATTAATCTCTGTGATAATTGATATAAATGACTCTCAACTCCTCCCATGTTTGGATAAAAGAAATCTGATACCATTCTAAAATAAATTCAAATAATTTTAAAATTTCAGGGTTTAAGAGTTTTCAAAAAAAAAAATTAATAATTAAGTACTAACGCAATATTATACGGCATTTCTTTACTAAAATATTTTTTTTATATGCATATGTATAAATAATTTTTAAACATTTAAAGAAGAAATATATTTTTTTTTGTCATGCCCCGAAATCCTCTTTTTTTATTAGTTTAAAATATTTTAATCCAAATTTATCTTTATATAAAAATTTTATGACTCTCAAACAAGAAGTCGAGCTCCTTTAGCTCAGCTGGTTAGAGCGTCGTGCTAATAACGCGAAGGTCATAAGTTCGATCCTTATAAGGAGCAAAAATTTTTTTTTTTTTTTCCTAAAAAAAAAAAGCAGGTTATATACATGTGACTTTCTTGTGATTTATTACTTATCGTATGCCATATATAGATTTCAATAAATTCATCTCTGTTAGTTTTATCGTAGAAAGTTTCTTCACGATGGTAAGCATTTCATTAATTTGCATGTTTTTAAATTGATTTAACTTTAAAGGTTTTGTTAAAAATGAATGGGATATTATTATAAAATATTTATTTCATTATTCGATGATATAGAGAAATTTTGAACTAAAAAAATTTTTTGGAGCAATTTTAATTTGTTAAAGATCTTTTTAAGTAGTAATTCCATCAAAAAATTAGTAGCTCAATACCATTTATTAATCTATCATTAATTTTGCATTTTTATAGCCGAAACAAATCCGTGATATTAAATACTTTCTCGAATACGCCCGCAGAAAGGATGCCAAATGTAAGTTCATCGTTTATTATTTTTCTTTAAAATAAATTTAACTTCATAATTAATAAATTGATTTTTTGGATAGCCGTTCGTATTAAGAAAAAGAAGAAGAATGGTACATCAAAAGTAAAGTTTAAGCTTAGATGTTCTAGATATCTTTATACTTTTGTTATTGAAGATGCAGAAAAGGCAGAGAAACTTCAAAAATCTCTTCCTCCAGGTTATTTTTTTTTTTTTTTTTGATATTTTTGAAATTTATGTTTTTTAATCTTATTTGATTGATTTTTTTAGGTCTTACTGTCACAGATGTTGCATAATTGAATAAACTTTAAAATTTTTATTAAGAAAACATAAATTGATAAATAAAAGATAATTTTTCCTTACATTCTTTCTTTATTTAAATGAAATCAAGGGATATTTTTCTACATTTATATTAATATTTATAACACTTTGTAAAATGACAAATATCAAAATACTTAAAGAAATTTATGAACAATTTGAATAATTGTGATATAGGTTGTGTAATTGTGATTTTAATCTGTAAAATTAAATCGTTTGATTTTTAATTAATGAATCACTTCGTAGTTAAGTGATGTCATAGGTGATCTATAAACACGTGACACAGCTCTTCTGAAATAAAACGCGTGGAGTGCATGCTGTTTATTGACTTTTCTTTTGAACTAAGATATTCGAAGTTAAGATAACCAGGTGAGCAGAAGTTACTTCAACACGTCTTTGTTATTTACTATAATACTTAATTGTATGTATAAATTATAAAGGTAAAAAAAAAAAAAAAAAAAGACATGGCCAGACAACCACGAACAGCCTCTACAACCTCTCCTACAACCAGGATGGCCAAACGTAGATTAGCAACAGTAAAAAAGATAGCAAGACCTACGGCTTCAGGCAGTAAAACACCAATGAGGAGGTCTAAACGTAAGTTAACTTCTCGTTCAAAACACCATAAACACGGCAGCTTTTAATATATACCGTCAAATTTTTGTTTAAAAAGAATTTATCTTTTATTTTATTTAGCTGGAGATCCGATTAGGCCACAAAAACCGAAAAGATATAGACCTGGAACTGTTGCTCTACGTGAAATTAAACATTTTCAAAAGACTACTAATCTTTTAATCAGGAAATTACCTTTTTCACGGGTTGTACGTATAATAAAACCTTATTTATCATGATATAACTATTAATTCTAATTAATACACTTTATCTAGGTTCGAGAGATTGCTATAGAAGTTTTAGGACCTGATTCATCAGTTGGTTATAGATGGCAATCTGCAGCCATTTTAGCACTTCAAGAAGGTAAATGACTTGATATATATATATATCGTATATTTAATTAATTAATGCACTAAATAAAATATTTATTATCTCTTTAGCTACTGAAGCTTATCTGGTTCATCTATTTGAGGACGCGTACGTATTACTCGAATGCTTTTTAAAAGAACAATATAAATTAACATCAAATTTTAAAATAATTTTATAATTTTTAGCAACCTATGCGCAATTCATGCAAAAAGAGTTACAATAATGCAAAAAGATATTCAACTGGCGCGAAGAATTCGTGGTGTTTGGGGAGGTCTTGGCTAAAATAAAAAAAATATATATATATACACAAAATTATGATAGTAAGAAATGGAAAAGGATTTTTTTCATTTTATTTCAAAGATTTTAGATTTGTTTTTTTAGTTAATTTGTAAATAAATAAAATTCTTTCTTCACGTTTAAGTTACATTAATTTCAAGGAAAAGAGAATAATCGCGTTCAAATAATAAAAACGGGTAAATTTTTACATTGTAAGAAAATATCTTGAAGTCTTGAATTGTGAATATTCTAATTCATTTTTTGTTCATTCTCGTCTGTTTTCGAAGCAATTATATTCATAAACTCATCCATGAAATCTGAATCTTTAATAGGCGTATTTGGTTTTGTTTCAACAATATTTTCATTACTACTCGTATTCTGTTGATCCAAATTCCTTTGTTGCTTTCTGAGTAAACTCATATCAAAACCCGCAGCTTTTAAATCCGAACAAAATAACGGAGATAATTTGTAGTTAAAATTTTGCATTTCTTCCAAAGCTAATATCGCTCTTGTATCACCATTAAGCACACATTTGATTATGATATTTTCATAAATCTCTTTTGATGGTAATAAATTTTTTGATTTCATGTCTTCAAGATAAACAAATACTTCTTCATAATCATCTCTAGTACAAATTATTCGAATCATGCGACTATATGTCAAGACTGAAGGGATAATATTTAATTCCAGCATTTCTTTCCACAATTGATCAGCCAAATCTTTCCGATTTGAGTAATAACAAACAAGTAAAAGGGAATTAAATGTTTCTGTATTAGGCTTAACACCCAATTTTTCAGCTGCTTTATAAGTTTCTAATGCACGAACAACATCAGCATACCTTCTTTTTTTTTTACCAACGTTTGAACAAGCTGCAATAATAACATTAAAAGCAGATACATCAATTATCTTCCCTTCCCTATGTAATTCTTCCAAACAATAGTATGCATTATCAAGAGTTTCATTGTTTTTTCGGATTACTGAGTATATTCCACTCGATGATGCGTTAAACAAGCTAACTTGAAATCCTGCTTGACGTATTATATTTAATGATTCCATGGCATTTTTAATATCACCAACTTTAGTGTAAGCTTGTATCAGTGGAATAAAATGCAATTTGTGAAGATTTAATTTTCGAACGTCCATTAAATATTCAATTACTTGTATCACTAAATCAGGTTTTCCATGACTTCCAGCAAAATATAAAAGATCAATACATGTTCCTTCGTCAAGATCTAGTCCACGACCTTTAAGTTTATCCCAACAATGCATAACGCCATCAGCCTAAAACATTTATTTGAACAATTAATCATTGAGAAATTATAAATATACAACAGAAGAATGGTTGTTACTCACATAATATTCAAATGCGCATATTCTTAAGACATCATTATATAATGAGCTCGGAACATAAATTTGTTGATTCTCTTCAAGACTTTTCAAATAATTAAATGCTACTTCTGGTTCATTAATTGAAATTGCTTTCCTTATAATTGCAACATATAATTCTAGTTGTGGATTAATATTCTTGCTTTTCAAAGAATCAAAAATCTCAAATGCACGTTCATATTCTTCTCCAGCTAATATTGAATCTATATAACATTCATAAGTCTTTAAGTTAGGTTGAAGACCATCCTTAATAATCATTTCTAAAATTTGTTCTCTTAAGTATGGATCTTGATCACTATAAGGAGTTTGTGCATATGTCTTTAAAAAATAAAATGAAATAAAATTAATATTTAAACAAAATTATTAACTCTTTTCTGAAATTAATTTATTAATTTACCCTCAATAAATAATGATAAGTAGTTATATTTGGATTAACATTAGCCAATTTCATATCTTCTAATATCTTAAAAGAATTTCTTATAGAACCCAAAGGTATATAAGCATGAAGTATTGTATTATATATGAATAAATCTGGTTTACGTGACTTTTTAACCTTTTCGCATAAATTAAGAATTGGTTTCCATTGTCCTTTTTTTGATAATCTGTCCATATCATCTTGAAATTTATCAATAAATATTCTTTCTGCTCTGGTATCTTCAACTTTAATCGCATCTGTTCTTAAGGGACTTATACTTGCAGAAATATCGGTATTATTCGAAGATACAACTTCAATATTCTTAAGTTTACTCGTTACTATAAATATGTCGCATAAATGAAAAAAAAAACATAAAAAAAGAACGAATAATTGTTATAATACAAAAAAAAAAAAAAAATAGACAAGATAATAAAAATAATAACTAACCAGTAAACAGACGTACTGAGGATCCTCGAGTTTGCAACTTAATAGCGCTAAGACGTGTAATAACATTATTTTGTAAAGATAAACATAATGACTTATTTAATGACCTTCCCAACATTATTATAATAATCGACTAAGAAAGCCAAAAGAATTTGGTTTCATAAATTTGAATTTTATTATAATAAAAAAAAAAGATAATCAAACTTTTTTGGCGATCAGTGGCGTTTAATAGATGTGTGGCTTGTTAATATAAATAAATTCAAATTGGCTAACATTAAAATATTACTTTAATTATGTCAACTTTTAAGCTTATAAAAAATAAAATTCTCGTTTTAGGACGTCGTGGAGCGGGAAAATTATCTATTGTAAAACGTAACTATAAAAATAACTATTCATTTCATTTCATTTTATAAGTATAACTAATTTAATTTTAAATAATATAGAAATATTATCAATTACAAATCAATCAATTGATGATTTTAATATTGAAGATAAAAATCATTCAGGGATAAAAATACCATGGAAAATTAATACCAAATATTATAGCGCAAAAGTAGATTTTTGGATTGATGAAACTGTACATAAAGATCATGTGAATAAAGAGGTAATACAAGGTTATGAAAATGAAGAAAATGGTATTGGAAAAGTTGTTGATGCCATTCTTTTTATATTTAAGAAAGATGAGGTATTTATATTTAAACTATTATAAGCTACGAGAATTTT